AGTGAGCAATGGTGTATGAGCACTTTACATATAAAGTACAGGTACACCTCAACTTACGATTGCCCTACTTACGAATTTTTTGAATTACAACGTAAATTTCATCGGAAAATAAAACTTGACTTACGACCATGTTGTCGACTAATGACCTTTGTTGATTCGCGTTTGGGTTGACCAAGCGCATGGTTCCTGGTGGCACAGCCGACCCCACCTCACTTTACCATAGTCGCCCGCTTAGTGACTATTGCGATTGTAAAGAATTTCAGTATTTTTGTTTTTTGAACATAAAAGTAATTATTATATATCATGCCATGGGTCCCAAGAGAGTCAGAGGTAAGGTTCAATCTAAGAAAACACAGTGAGGATGACCATAGAGGAAAAACAAGAGATCATTCATAAACATGGAAATGGTATGACAGTTGTTGATGTAGAGTAGAGGATGTCCCTTCCTCATTTATTAAGAAAATGTATGCACTATGAGAAGAATTGCAAAGTTTTGCTGAAAAGTGTCACTCAAATCGAGCTGTAGCAGATGGTTGTGTTAACCTTTTTAATGACAATGTGATGTCTCACTTCAGACAAGTGTTACAATGTAGGGAAAAGTGTTGCTAGACAGGTTTTTAGTGAGAAAAGCAAGTAGTGAGCCACAAGCAGGTCCTAGTGGTATGCAGGCAAAATGTAGGAGAGAGGGAGAAAGAGAGAGAGAGTACCCCAGAAAAGTCATCACTGCCTGATGTTATAATGGAAGGGGACTCCCCTTCCAAAGACTAACACCTCCTCCTCCTCCTCCCCGTCTTCTATATGGCAACAAGAGTCCTCATTCAAGGTAAGATATATATACTGTATTGAAGTGTTATTCAGTATAAAATGTATTTTTATGTTAATATTTTTGGGGTGTGGAATGGATTAATTAAATTTACATTATTTCTTATGGGAAAATCCTTTTGACTTGTGAATTTTCTACTTACGACCCTTCTCTGGGAACGGATTAATTTCGTAAGACGAAGCCCCACTGTATGTCATATTCCGCCATCGACTAAAAGAGCCAAGAACTCCTCCGGAAAGAAAATGAATGAAGAGAAACTAGCAACTCTGCATGCCAACTAGTATTCCCACTCGTTAGTGGAACCTCCCCTCTCCCTCGAACATAGGGAGGGGAAATACAACCCCTTGCGGGTCAGTGTTGACTTCCCTAGGTGTTCAGGACTCGCTCCCCGTTTGAGGGCTTCATTGCTTGACGTAGTCTTCGCCCTTGGGGTTCGTCGGGGATCTTGGGCTTTCTGTCTTGCCCCAAGTAGGGTAGTGTTATTGTCTGGAAGGGATGGGGGGGTTGGCGCTGTGGCTTGCACAGTCTGCATACACCTATGCGACGGCTGACTGCCAGTTTACTTGGGGTTTTGTTTCGGGGCTTGTCACTTTCATTTTGGGTGTTTGCCCTGTTTTGATGGAGGTGGTCTGCTTAGCAGCTTATTATGCCAGCCTATGTTGTGTTGGGGTCTCCTCCCTTGTCCCTGAGGTTTCACCACTGCTACTGGTAATCTGTTTTCATGCTTTCAAGCAGGGGGGGTCTACTGGCTTAGCGGGCCATACCTGGGCTTCCATAGGGCTAATGTACCCTGCGAACCTCTGGAAAACCCTCGTGGGCTCGGTTGGTAACATGGCTCCGTCAGAGTTCACTCTGGCCTTGTGCAATGTTGGTACATCGCCCCTGCCTCAGGGTGACTATCACCCTTTTTGCCTCCGCCAGGCTGCCTGTTTTGTTGATGACACCTGCGACTCGGAGTCTTGCAGGATGTGTTCTCTGCTTGTGCTTCAATTTACATATTCCTCGTCTATGGATGAGAGGTTTCATGCAGCGGCAGCGGCATTGTGAGCTCTTTTCTCTTCCTTACAACACGCTGGGTTGGTTGCCTGGTTGGAGGCCCTGGAGCTGCACCGTTTGGGTTTTCAAGACCAGGATTTGGGGGCATTTGTCGCTTCACCTTTCGTTCTGTCCATGCCCCTGCTTCCTTCCAAGGTGGGCATGATCTCCTTGCTTCTCTCTCTCTCCCTGCTTCCGGCTCCAAACCGTCTGATGGTTTCGGAGTCAGGGCGGGGTTTCGATTGAGATGAGGCTTGGGTGGCTTCTGGGGGGCTGCCCCTTCTGATTCGGCGTGGAGCTGGTTGAGCTCATTCTTCCTGCCAAGGCTTCCAGTTCATCACAGCTACCTTCCTTCTCGGAAACCTTATCCTTGGACTCTGCCTTTTCTTCAGAGGTGGTGGGCGTGGAAGAGGGCTCTGCCCCGGGGCCTGTGTTGTGGGTTCCCAGGGCTCGGGGGGGGAGTCTGTTTGGAGTGCTTGGACTATTTTTTTTTTTTTTCCCTGCTTGTGCCCTCTGGGCAGGGGTTTTTGCTGAAGAGAAGGTTTTTTTTGTCCTTTCCGTCCCTTCCTTCTGCATTAGTTTTACCACATTTGTTGGCATGATTTATACACCTTCGGGTCGGATGCATCCATGTTATGCTTGGATGTTTGTTTTCACGGACATTTTGCTCTACTGTGTGCATTGTCGCCACTGCCCACCAGGGCGGAGTTACTGGTCATCCCGCACTTCCTATCTGTGTTTGTTGTTACTCATGTTTGCCTATGGCGGCTGGGCATTTGCCCCCTTTTTGAGGCCTTTATTATTTTATTTCATACGCTCATTTTCATGGACGGTTTGACACTGTGTCCTTCCACTGGCTTTGCTGGTTGTTCAGCCGCCTGGGGGTGGACCACTTCACGTCGGTGTGGTCTCGGCATCTTCCACTGTATATACGTGACGCCATTCCCTGACTGCAAGGCTCTTGCAATTGATGCTTTTCTACAGAACTGGTTGAGGTGGGGGTTCCTGTACCTCTTTCTCCCAGTCCAGCTGTCACTCTAAGTCTTGTCTTGCTTAGAATCCTATCAGGGTAGGTTCTTCTCCTGGCTCCATGGTGACCGGCCCGGCCATGGTTTCAGGTTCTGCTTGCTCGGTGTCCGAACCCGGGCATATTTCCACGGCTCCGCCTCTACCAGCAGTGTGGGGCAGTGCGGTACCTTGCTGGTTCGCTTTACTGTTCTGCACTTCGCATCTGGTCTTTTTGATGTGGGTGTATTGCCCTTCTAGGGTGATTAGGTGGCTTCTTTCGATGGTGTCCCACCTACGGTCTACTTCTAGGTGACAGTATGAAGTATTGGAGGTCTTTCTGTCAGTTCCTTTCTCTTAGGAAGTTTTTGGCAATTTCGTAACGGGTTGTGTTGTCCTTTCTTTCTTTGCATTTTCTGGACTGGCATCTCATGCCAAATACTGTCGCTTCACATTGCATGGCGTTGGTGGAGCTGCTCCAGCTTGCATTCGGGGTGAATGTTACTTTCGTTCCGTTCCGCAGGCTTTCATGTGCGTTTTTTCACCCCCGGCCTGCTCATGTGCCACCCGAGTCTTCCTGGTCTTTAGATCGGGTTATTTCTTTTCCGTCTTCTCTTCATTTAGTCGTGACTCCTTTGGTTGGTGATTGTCTTTGGATGGCATTATTTTTGTTGGCCTTGGCTACTAGGGGCTCGGGTTAGGGAGCTTCATGCTCTCCTCCGGCATCAGGGGTTCAGTTCTTTTGGTACTGGTGGTCATTTTGTTCGTTTGCAACCGTCTCTTTCTTTTTTGGCAGGCTTTCAAAGGGGTTCAGTCATGGTGAATGCTTGGTTGGTTAGGCCGGGGGTACATCATATGTTGTGTCCGGTGGCGGCTTAATGCTGCTACCTGTGGGGCCACTGGTTCTTTGCCAATGGGGACGCTCTATGGGTGGATGCATTTTCCCTGGTTCCCTGTTCCATGGCTCGTGTGTCCCAGGTAGTCCGCAGTGTTATAAAATCCGGGCAGTTAGCACTCTACCCTCATGCCTATGACATGGGGAAGTACACAGCGCTTGCTGCAGTGTTTGGTAACATGTCTTATTTTGACATTAGGGCACGGAGGTTTTGGAGGTCACAAAGGGTCCTGGCCGCCAGATATCTCCTGACCATTCCGGGGTCTTTCTGGTCTTGTATCGCTTTGGGGTGTCTGTCATGGCTGTCAGAACCTTCACATTGAGTCCTGCTGTGTGGCTGCCTCCCGGGTAAGTCCCTGTGTTTCCTTCTCTGTGGGTAGTTAGCTTCAGGAAGCCAACGAGGCTCCCGCTCAGAAATCTAGCTTTCAATGTAATGAAATGCCCTTTTCGGGGGGTAACCTTGGAGGCTCCCCAACACCCTCCCTCCTTCCGATCGGCGATTTTTCCAACAGGCCTCGAACTGAGGGTTGGACAGTGGGGTCACCTAAGCCGATAACCCCGAGTCCCCCTTGTCGGGAAGGGGGAAGGATTCTGCTAACAAGCGGGAGTATTGATGACCAAACCACACACTAGAAAGTGAAGGGACAATCGACTTGAGAATGGTCCAGGATGGACCGAAACGTTGTTGTCTCTTCACTTTCTAGTGTGTGGTTTGGTTAACATATTTCTGCCACGTTATTGTGATTCCTCGTCTGCAAGTGGGAGTATTGGTTTGCATGCAGAGTTGCTAGTTTCTCTTCATTTATTTTCTTTCTGGAGGAGTTCTTGGCTCTTTTGGGCTGTAGGTGGCAATTTTACCAGATGTTTGTTTTGGTTCGCCTATCTTTCTGGACTACTGCCCCGGTCGATGGCGGAATATGACATACTTTACATTTAAAGTGCTCATACGCCATTGCTCTCTTTGAGGGGGCCAGGTTCTGGCTTGTGGTAGGCTTAGAACTCAGAGTGACTGATGACCCCAAACTAATAAAGCACATATCAGTTTGGATAGCTTCAGGGTTCCTCCGAGGCTACACCCAGAAAAGGGTGTTTCACTACATTCAACGCTAGCTTTAATTCATGGTCAATGGTTGTATTTATCTCTTGATTTACTTTTAACCAAAGGAAATCCTTTGGAAATATTTTTCTTCTTTTATTATTGGCACAACCAACATCTGAAGCCCCTTTTAATTTTCTTTACAGTACCACCTTGACAACTTGATCACCAATGTAAGTCAGCTATGTTACTGTTCTCATGGTAGCTTGTATTACTCAGTTTACTCATAATACTGCCTGACTTCATCTCTCTTTGAGTGTCAGATCCCACTAGAATTTGGCACATCATTTGTAACAGTGTCAACACCCCATCTTAATAACAATGCTCAAGTCTTAACATTACCATACTGTAGCCATGTCTAACCCTAACCCTAATATAATTAATTCTTTAGCAGTAGCAAGCATCACCATAACATTTACTGATCGCATCTCATAACGGTATCAAGCCTCACTTCTACAAAATAAATAATATATATATATATATATATATATATATATATATATATATATATATATATATATAATATATAATATATATATATATACTGTATATATATACACAGTATATATTTTCTGCCTGAAACGCTGCGTGTACTAATGGCTTTACAAGAATGTAATTACTGTACTATGCTATGTATCCTCACAATCCCAATGTACCTTCTTGTATATATATATAAATAAAATAAAATAAAATAAAAATATGCGAACAAGCCTGAATGGTCCCCAGGCATACATGCAACTGAAAACTCACACCCCAGAAGTGACTCGAACCCATACTGCCAGGAGCACTTTCCAACTGGTGGGCAGGGCACCTTATCCACTCGACCATCACGACCGGACAAAAGCTGATAGTAGCCGAGGCTATTTGCCCATCAGCCCGTCGGCACTCTGATGGTAAAATAGCCTCGGCTACTATCAGCTTTTGTCCGGTCGTGATGGTCGAGTGGATAAGGTGCCCTGCCCACCAGTTGCAAAGTCCTCCTGGCAGTATGAGTTCAAGTCACTTCTGGGGTGTGAGTTTTCAGTTATATATATATATATATATATATATATATATATATATATGTCGTAACTAGTAGCCAGAACGCACTTCTCGGCCTACTATGCAAGGCCCAATTTGCCTAATAGGCCGAGTAATTTTTTTTTTCAATAAATTGTTTCCAATTAGTTTATTTGAATTAGTATTATTATATTATATAAGGAACATAAGTTATTGAATTAGTTGTGCTAGTTTGGGTTAGGTTTAGATAGGTTAGGTTAGGTTAGGTAGGATTGGTTCGGTTCGGTCATATATCTACGTTAGTTTTAGCTCAAATTTAAACAACTCAACTTATTCATAATGAAATGGACAGATTTATCATTTTATAAGAAAAAATTTGAAAAATATATAAATTCAGGAAAACTTGGCTTATTAGGCAAATTGAGCCTTGCATAGTAGGCCGAGTACTGTGTTCTGGCTACTAAGTACTGTACAACATATACCTGTGTATATATATATATATATATAATATATATATATATATATATATGTCGTACCTAGTAGCCAGAACGCCCTTCTCAGCCTACTATACAAGGCCCGATTTGCCTAATAAGCCAAGTTTTCCTGAATTAATATATTTTCTCTAATTTTTTTCTTATGAAATAATAAAGCTACCCATTGCATTATGTATGAGGTCAATTTTTTTTTATTGGAGTTAAAATTAACGTAGATATATGACCGAACCTAACCAACCCTACCTAACCTAACCTAATCTTTCTTTATAGGTTAGGTTAGGTAGCAGAAAAAGTTAGGTTAGGTTAGGTAGGTTATGTAGTCGAAAAAACATTAATTCATGAAAACTTGGCTTATTAGGCAAATCGGGCCTTGCATAGTAGGCCGAGAAGTGTGTTCTGGCTACTAGGTACGACATATACTACCTAACTAACCTAACCTAACTTTTTCTGCTACCTAACCTAACCTATAAAGATAGATTAGGTTAGGTTAGGTAGGGTTGGTTAGGTTCGGTCATATATCTACGTTAATTTTAACTCCAATAAAAAAAATTGACCTCATACATAATGCAATGGGTAGCTTTATTATTTCATAAGAAAAAAATTAGAGAAAATATATTAATTCAGGAAAACTTGGCTTATTAGGCAAATCGGGCCTTGTATAGTAGGCTGAGAAGGGCGTTCTGGCTACTAGGTACGACATATATATATATATATATATATATATAATATATATATATATATATATATATATATATATATATATATATATATATATATATATATATATATACACACACACACACACACACACACACACACACACACACACACACACACACACACACACACACACACACACACACACACATGTATATATATCATATCCAGTCGATTTAACGGCTTCTTATTTACCGATCTGCCAGTTCTAAAGACTGGTTTTGGAGACTGTTATCTGGAGCCTCATGTACTGGTCTACTGGTCGATATATCCGAAAGTCGGTATTGGGTTTGTTTTGGCATCGGTGGCTCCTCACATGGCAACCAGGCCACTGACCTCGATCGTCTAGAGTCGTAAATTAAATTTTAACTTTCTTTTAAAATGATTAAGTTTAATGAAGAAAATTCTAAATTATTAATAATAAAATATTTTGAAACAATTGTTATTAAGCAAAATTCTTTGTTTTCTTATTAAATACCATTTATACTATAGGCACTAGGTATTTTTTTTCCCACGAACCTAGAATGTACTGTGCCAGGCCATGTGTCTGCATTGTTTACTGTGAACTTGCGTGGCTAGCTTCAATTTTGAAGAACATTACTGTTAATTGTGACCTTCATTTTAATTTACAAAATGCCTAAAGTTTCCCAATGGAAGCGTCTGACAGTTGCACAGAAGCTGGAGTTAATTGAAAAACTTGATAAAGGATTTTCTCACGTACGAGCAGCAGCAGAGTTTAACATCGGCAAAAGTACAGTAAGTGACAAAAAAACAGAATGAAACGCTATTAAAATGTGAGAACAACAGTGTAATTAATTAAGTGTAGTTACAGGATGAGAGCTACGCTCGTGGTGTCCCGTCTCCCCAGCACTCTTTGTCATATAATGCTTTGAAATTACTGACGGTTTTGGCCTCCACCACCTTCTCACTTAACTTGTTCCAACCGTCTACCACTCTATTTACAAAAGTGAATTTTCGTATATTTCTCTGGCAGCTTTGTTTCGTTAGTTTAAATCTATGACCTCTTGTTTTTGAAGTTCCGGGCCTCAGGAATTCTTCCCTATCAATTTTATCGATTCCTGTTACTATTTTGAACGTAGTGATCATATCGCCTCTTTTTCTTCTATCTTCTATCTAGTGTAATTACCTAAGTGTAATTACCTAAGTGTAGTTACAGGATGAGAGCTACACTCGTGGTGTCCCGTCTTCCCAGCACTCTTTGTCATATAACGCTTTGAAACTACTGACGGTCTTGGCCTCCACCATAAGATATGGGCACCACACAACAGCTGCATATTCTAGCTTTGGCCTAACAAAAGTCATGAACAATTTCTTTAGAATATCGCCATCCATGTATTTAAATGCAATTCTGAAGTTAGAAAGCATAGCATAGGCTCCTTGCACAATATTCTTTATGTGGTCCTCAGGTGATAGTTTTCTATCTAGAACCACTCCTAGATCTCTTTCTTTATCAGAATTCTTTAAAGATTTCTCACATAATATATAGGTTGTGTGGGGTCTATGTTCTCCTATTCCACATTCCATAACATGACATTTATTAACATTAAATTCCATTTGCCAAGTGGTGCTCCATATACTTATTTTGTCCAGGTCTTCTTGAAGGGCATGACAGTCATCTAAATTCCTTACCCTTCCTATTATCTTAGCATCATCAGCAAACATGTTCATATAATTCTGTATACTAACTGGTAGATCATTTATGTACACAATAAACATCACTGGTGCAAGAACTGAACCCTGTGGTACTCCACTTGTGACATTTCTCCATTCCGATACATTGCCTCTGATTACTGCCCTCATTTTTCTATCAGTCAGAAAATTTTTCATCCATGATAGAAGCTTACCTGTCACCCCTCCAATATTTTCCAGTTTCCAGAACAACCTCTTATGTGGAACTCTGTCGAAAGCCTTTTTTAGGTCCAGATAGATGCAGTCAACCCAACCATCTCTTTCCTGTAATATCTCTGTGGCTCGATCATAGAAACTGAGTAAATTCGATACACAGGATCTTCCAGATCGAAAACCATACTGTCTGTCTGATATTATATCATTTCTCTCTAGGTGTTCTACCCATTTAGTTTTGATTAGTTTTTCCAATACTTTCACTATTACACTTGTCAATGATACAGGTCTATAATTGAGGGGGTCTTCCCTGCTGCCACTTTTGTAGATTGGAACTATGTTAGCCTGTTTCCACCCATCTGCTACGATTCCTGTACACAGGGATGCCTGAAAGATCAGGTGAAGTGTGCGCTACTTCTGGTGCTGCATGTTCGAGAAAAGCAGTAAAGGCTGGTCAGTAGTGACAATTAGATGCTACAGTGTATAAGTGGTTTATTCAGCACCGCACAATTGGCATGGCAATACGATTTGAAGAGCTTAAAGTTGCAGCAAGTAAACTCGCCATTCAGTTAGGTATAAAAGATTTCACTGCAAGTGATGGGTGGGTTGGAAGATTTAAGGCTCGACATAACATTTCAAACACCAAAAAAAATTCTGGAGAGGCTTCAAATGCTGATCCCACTAATGTTGAATCATTCAAGGCTAAATTAAACCAGTTCATTGTAAATAATAATTTAGGCAAATATCAAGTATATAATGCTGACGAGACAGGGTTTATGTGGTGAGCTGTACCCAGTAAATCCTTAACCAATAAGATGCATTAAAATATTCCTGGATGAAAGATAAGCAAGGAACGACTCTCAGTCTTGCTCTGTGCTAATGCTGATGCTTCTCAAAGGATAAAATGTGTGGTGATAGGCAAGTCTAAAAATCCTCGAGCCTTATTAAAGAATATACTGCAGGCATTACCCGTAATATATTACAGCTCAAAGAAATCATGGTTTAATTAAACAATATTTACGGACTGGTTTGAAAACCACTTTTGCTAAGAAGTTAGAGAATTCAGATCAACAGATGTGGAATAAAGGCCAGTGAGGTTA